TGGTCAAAGTCTCGACGAAAAACAACACGTAAGTGATAGGGGTCATTATCTTGTGATGGGAAGTATGGACCACTGAATTTCGGTAGTTCTTGACTTAAACATGTTCCTCGATTACAGTTGACGTGCAAAGCGTAGTGTCCTGAGCCATCTCTCAAAGCAAAAACAGATGTAGAACTTAAGCGAAATGTGTGGTCGACGCACCGACGTGGTCCTGAAACTGATTCAATGAACAACCAAGTGATCCTTAAGCAGAATCAAGGGCGAACTAAAGAGTTGACGTATTACGCTTAGCTGTAAAATGATAGGGATTCTCTTTTCGACATGGATGCGGACATTGTTTAGTGACAGCTCCTCTCACCGATTTGTTGTGCTCATAGCAGAACGTCAAAGCAAAAGGAACCCAAGCACATCGCTAATCATGGAAATGTGTACCACTTTAATAAGGGGTTGGCTGTAATATGGTTTCATTGGGGATAAGGATTGCTTCCCAGTAAAGGTATGGTCCTTGCAACTGACATCTACTACTATGCATTGGGGATACACCATTAATTCCGGGAATTTGATGGTCGAACTAAACCTAACTCCTTCGATTCACTAGTCTTTTCCTCTTCTCTCTTTACCAGCGGTCATGCCAACCCATGGTTGCAAATCTATGTCGGTCAGCCAGACTCAATCGCCCTTCTTCTGCATGCCCTAAACGTCACCGTCGGTTCAGTAGATCAGCAGCGCACAGTGGGTCGTTTTGTCGTAGAGCTGTTACGCGGTAAGCCATTGCGACTACGCTTCATCCTCGATGGAGTGGACATTGGTGAGACTCTGAAGCCTCTCGGACTATGTCACGGTCAGCCACCCATATGCACATCTGCGAGTTTTCAGTCATTCCTCAGAGGACCGGGATTTTGGGGCTCTGTAAGCCCCGCTTCCTCCAACTCGTCTGAGGCCGCGTATAACTCACTCTGTGTCTCTGACGATTTCAGAGCGATGGTTTGAAAATCCATGTTGTAAACATAGTTTTACCTTAATTCGACAAAAGATGATTTTCGCATTGTCTGTTTTCCGTATGTACCCACTGGGAAGGTAAATGATACTGCTGCTTGCACGTGTTGGCTGCTCGCCTTTAAAAGAGTAGCTGCACGGAGATTCCGTTGCAAACCCTTCGGGATCTTTATAGCTTTTGATTTTAACGAGGATTTCGACTTCGAATGCCGCTGCGACACGGCTTCGGCAAGTTGTATTCTGTACAAACTTCTTCTCTGAAGCTGATCCTCCCCAAAGCCAAGTTTAATGGAAGCGTAAATATTTGGCAGTAAAACAGGAACTGTGTATGATCCCAATAGATCCTGATTGATTTGTCTAAAGGTTTGAATCTATCGTTTTTCTTTTGCTGACTCGTAAAAAAATCGATTGTCGCGTTGATTTTTTACTCGAAGAGGTTAAAATGTCCAATGAATTAACCAGACGACACGTTAATGATCGTAACAATTCAGCTGTAGAGGCTTCTTCCAATTTCCTCTACAAGTTCAAACAACGCCAACAATCTGAAGTCAATGCCTCCCGAACTGTTCGATCGTCATCCCTTGACAAGGGTTCTGAGAGCCTCTTCAAGACCGTCTTGATGGCTTTTCAAAGGGCAGAAACGTTCCCTTTCTCTGAAGCAGAGCTACAGGACAAATGCCTCCTTCTTTGCATCGATGATATGGGGAAGAAATACCTCATTCGTTTACTAAAAAACATATTCCTTTATCCCGAGGATACTCCCGCTATTTCCCACCTTTCTGATAAGCCCATCTACCAGCCTACCGAACTTCGAAGTGATGAGGAGATTCTTCGGTCAAGACGTCAAAGGAAGGAGAAGCTTATGCATCGATCCATAATCCTCATTGAACGCACTCTTCGGCGCAACACTCCAGGTCAGATTCTCAATGCACTGGGAAAGCTTCATCTCTATGCAGATGTAGAAAGGGCAGCAGAACATCAAGATGCTGAGGAGTTGAATGAAATTCGTCGCCTCGCTAGACCACATGTTCTACAAAGAGGCATTACTTCCTTCGTGTGCATTTTCTGTCGCCTTGAATGCCCCTCTATTACTACTCTGCAAGCGCATCTCATTTCACAGAAGCACCATTTCCTTAACCTACCCGCATTGTGGTTAAAAGCTATCGAAAAGGCTCGACAATATGAAATCAAAGGAGCAATGACTACACGTACCCTGAAATCAGTCCACCCTAACGATGCACAGACTGCGAATATCTTGACTGCAGGTGGGCAGACGCAGAAAAAGGCTGACGAAGATCAAAAACGAAAGGAGCGGAAAGAAGATGACATGTTGACTCTGGAAGACGAATCCCGGGGAAGCTATGATGAGGCGGAGGATGTTGGAGATATGACAACTCTGAAACCAACTATTGCTCATTTCACGACCTGCCTTTTCTGTGGAAAAAATGTTGATTCAGTGGAAATTTATGAAGGTCATTCATGCACCAATCAGGTGGGTCGGTTGATCGGGTTAAGAGAGAGGGAATCGCAAGTTGTGAGATATTGCAATTTTGCCCATTTAGTAGGTTTGATTCTTGCAGTGCATGCGGTTTGGGAGCTTCCATTCATGTGTCGTGCAAGGTTGAAGAATGTAGCTTAAATTAGATCTAGTACCAAGTGTTATTATCTATCAGGGATTTGCTTCCGTCGCCAAGTTCATGCATTGCAAAATACATTTTTCACGAGTATCTTGACATTATTTTCTTTTCTAAGCTTCGAAAAGTTTTTTTTTGGAAGTTGATTTCATCTGTTGTGTGTGTCAGTTATGACTATATTCATGGTTTGCTTTTGAAGTGATGAACTATGTTGTTGAAATGTTTGGAGCGAAAAACTGTGGAAAAGTGGTAGGTCCCCGGAACTTCCTTGAAGTGGTAGTGTTAGAATCCAAATCGCTTGTTTGTTAGTAATAGTTGGGCATTCGCTCAAGGCTTTGCCATGAAGTTTCTCCTTGTGGCACGAACTTTAGAGCATCAATAGCCCCTCGAGCCTTCTCTAAGCCAGAAATGCAAGGTATTGCGTGTTCTCTTCCTTTTTAAACTGCGCTTGGCATTCCTCTTGATATGGTCTCTCGTCAAAC